CCCCCCCCGGGTTAGGGCTGTGATTTTGCGCTTTTTCGATACGTTTTCTGGATCTTTTAGTGTATTTGGTGGCCCTAAAAAGGGCCGTTGATGTTTGAGATGCATTGATGATGTTCTCGTTAGTTCCAATTCTCTCACAAGTCCGTGATATCCCCAGGCTGTTTATGACCAGCTGCAGATGTCGAGGTTCTCCTCAGGGATAAATTATTCCTTCTTAAAAATCTTGCCAGCCAGCCGTCCGAGGCCTTGAAGGTCGGCTGTTGGTTGACAGACAGCACTAAATTCTGTGCATACAGCTGTATACTGTGCCGAGAAACCGGAAGTTGGAGTTCCTGTCGATTTCGTATCCAACCGACAATCTTGAGCTCCACGTTCTCGGAGTACACCAGTTTCCCGCCGCCTCCAATTTCCCTCCCTTTTTGTGTTTTGGGAGAATCGGGACAAAAGGTCTTCTTCCATGTTGAAAGAGTGGATTTTGGTAAACCATATTTAGAGGATATGACACATGTGCCATACATCTCGGCCAAATCTAGAAGTTCTTTCTTCTCGGCTACCGTATAAAATTTATATTTGCCACGTATTTTTCTCAGACTTGGCTCCTCCTCCAGGTATACGTCATCACTTTCGTCATCACTTTGTGTGTTGGTGGGCGGTGTGGTAGGAGGGACACGTGGGCACGGTTGAGTGGTTGTTACGTCAAACTTTGGCCTTGGAACAGGTCGTGTCTCTGGTTTTGTTGCAGATGATGGCGGTTCTCTCCATTTCTTTTGGACAGAGTCGTCTCTGCTCTCCGCCTTCTGGAAGTAATCCTGGATCCGTTTCATAATGATGCTTTCGAGATTATCACGAAAACTGGTAGCGATAGTGCGGTTTCTCCTACTTTTATACCAACCACTTATAAGGAACCAGGTGCTAAGTCACGTGTCATCGGCCTTGACACGTACTGTTGATATTATTGTTTATTCCAGTAGAATTAGCAGCGTGATACAAACTGTACTAGCCATGTCGTCGGCAGTTGTGTACTGTTGTGTGTACGTGTCGATGTCGTACACCGCCGACACGTGTGAATTATCGGATGCTATCATTGTTTATGCAACGATTATTAATTTTTAAGTATAATTAATTATTGATTAACTAATGTCGGTCGGGGTGGACATGATGACACTGAAGACACGATTGTTCTACTGAATGATGTTGTATTTAAGATACACATGTGTAAAATACAAGATAATACAAAATGTTGCCGCACAGTTTCTTAATAATACATAAAAAAAATCCATTAGGAGTACACTGAGCGGTAGTCCGAGCGTAACCTCTCGAGTTTGAGACCTGGGCCCGTATTCATGAAACCATTCTCATGCTCAAGAATGGATTATGTGCTCAAACCAACTCGCTTAAATAATTTCAAACGATCAAAAAGTCGAAACAGCATTTGGCTTCAAGTCTCTTCAAAATATTTCCAACTCATTGAAAAAACAAGATCTATTTATTAAGGTACAACCAGAACAAGAAATTAGGCTTGAGCACAAAATCCATGCTTTAGCATGAGAACGGTTTCATTGGCCATGAACTCGGTCGAATGTGTTTTAAACCCAAAATAGGTGTACGCGTTGCTGGGTGAAGCAAGTGTCATGCATTATAAAATATTACTTACAAAAACTGTACGTACCTCTGTAGAAGGTGTCAGTTATACATCAATCATAGATATTCCTACTCAAAGTTACCTAACACTGTGAAAAAAATGTTCAAAACTTAATTAAACGATCCGTTTGAAGTTTATTTTTTATTTTTTTTAACACAGTTACTATTTTATATACTGACACTGATGTGTATTTACCTGTACACGTGCTGGGCGGTCCAACCATGGTCTAATCTAATGCCGTGGTCCAACTAACAAGTGACCGTAGTGATGGGGGGTCCAGTTATGGCGCATGCTCTGTTGATTAGCGTGTGTATGCAATCAGTGTCCACTCCAAACACGACCCCCGGACTGTCAAAGTTGTTAAAGATATGACAACGTAAAGTACTGGGCGGATCTTTCTCGAATTACAAACGTAGATTTCCCTTATTCCTTAGTTGTACATGTTTCATTTGGACACTAATCAGAAAAATATACAGCCATCTTGGATTTCGCAATTTCTTATTTTGCTATAGATCTTTCTATAATTTCGCAAGTAAGGTTTATCTCGGGGCCTTTTCGTTTAAGCGGAACAACCGGAAATCCGATGTAATTTACCCCTTCCCCCTATTTTTTTTATGAAAGATACTAATTTTTTACCATTTTTTGCAGATTAAACGCTTGATATGAAAAGTTCTGCTATTAAACTTTTTGTGATATTTAATGAATTAAAAGAAATTGTGTTTTTCTTTCCTAAACATCCACAAAAATGGGGGACCGTGTGCTTCTTTTTTTGTCCCATTATCATTCGTGTTATTTTTTTTTACCTTTTTCGGGGTCAAAAATCAAAAGTGCTTCAGTTACATTAAATATGTAAAAAAAATATCAGTAATGACACGGAATTAGATAAGGCCGTTGTAATGTATAATTTTCCAGTTTGTTGCATATTATTTTTATCATATTAAACATTATAAAGTTGTACAGCAAAATTGAACCTGCTAGAATTAAAAATGGCGACACAATGACAATTTAAGCGATCAATCTAGTGTCAAAAAAGGTGAAATTTTGGCCTCTTTTGAAGCGCAAGAAATACACATTAATACACATTTTCAAAATGGCCGCCAAATTGGTAATTATTTTAAATTATTGTAAAAAAAGTTCTACAAACAACAGGCATCTAGTTTTTTGACATATTTTTCATATGCGTGTTTGCTTATAAACTTGATCATAATTTGTTAAATATTACAAAAACCCGTCACACCAGATCAAAACGAGACTTGAACGTGATTGAAACCTCAGAAGAGTACATCCTTAACTTAATTGTATGTTAAATTCTGCGACTGGTCGAAAAAATATGATTGCTATCAAGTTGTTATCCAAGTCGGAAATTGGTAGTGTTAAAGTTAATGGTTGTCAGTATTTATCAGAGGACTGACGAGATCTTTCCAGTTCATAGCTAGGCCCCTATCGAACGTTTGAGCGGAAGTTACCAGACGAATTGACTGTAAGCATGACTCGATCCAACAGATAAGTTGGAACTTGGAACCAATGAAAATCTTAGGATTTGGCGCCAATACGGGCCTCTGATTTTTTTTTTAGAAATTCCGAAGCCTGCAGTTAAAAACCCTATCAGCATGACTGTTTCCTATCAGCATGAGATGCTATATAAGGTATCTTATATAGAAATTAAATGAGATGCTATATAAGGTATCGTATATAGAAATTAAATGAGATGCTATATAAGGTATCTTATATAGAAACTAAATGAGATGCTATATAAGATATCTTATATGTTATTTAATTTATTAATTATATACCAACAAGAATGCTGACAGGTCAGCAAGGTTCCCACCAGGTGCCTGGCCTCCATGCGTAGAAATTGTATATTTGGTTACAGGTTGGGGATAAAATCCCTCAGTTGATTCACCTCTATTTCCCAATTGGGCCGAACTCCTGTACTGTTCTTTACTGTGTAAGAAAGTTATAAATATCAATTTCATCATTATCATACAGTACCAATAGTAAGAAGACTGCACTAGTATGTTTAAAATTGAACAGATTCAAAATTGAGAATAAATTATGTATCACTTAGTTCGTAAAATATAAATATAGAACTAGTACTGGTATAGATTGTGATATGATTTGAAACCACGAAAGTTTATGAAAGTACACACAAATATGTTTAAAGTAGCGCCTAGTTTATCACAGATTTCAGGTTTATGACAGGAGAGAACCACCAGGCAGGGTAGAAAAGTTGGACTTACTGTTGTGGCCGTCTGTTACGGCACGATTTCTCATCCCGACACGACACGATTTCTCATACCGACTGAGAAATCGTGCTAAAATCCTTAGTTATCAGCCTTTCGTAGGTCGTTGGGCAGACAGTTCCATATGCGGACAGTCTCATACCGAAATGATTTTTACCACACCTGGTAGTTCTTACCCTAGGTAAATCTACAGTCTTCTCTTGCCTTAGGTTGTAATTGGATACTTTTTTAATCATCAATTCTTGTATATACCCAAAGACATTTGGTTAACAATTTTCAAAATCTCACATGCAATCATTTTCATGCGTTTTATGTGCAAGAAGTTTTAAAATCAGACTCATAGTCATTAGCCTTCATATCATTTATTGTAAAACCATTCGTAAGAATAAACGCCTCCCTTTCTAATACACTTTTCATAGTTTGGCTATTTTACTTTATGTAACTTTGTGTTGTCATCAGCGTGATTGTACAAAGTGGACTCCTTAATGCGGTAAAAATTATCATTGATAAAAATATTAAAATGCAACGACGGTAAGTATTGAGCCCTGTGGTTTCTATGCAGTCACTGATGCTGGGCGCTCTCGGTAGCTTCGCAAGTCTCACGCCGAATATTACCCTTTTGACTAACTTAATTTGTACCGTTCTAAAGGATAAAGTTGACGGACAACGGACTTTTGAGTGATTGATTGAGTGGTTCGGCTGGTTATCCAGCAGACAGACGACGGACGCTACGAAACGCCATTGCTCACTTGGCCGAAACATGTTTTGGATTTTGTTGAAAACCCACATGGCCTGGTAATGGCAAAGGCGTGAATCTATGTGGTTTTCAATCGGTTCGCTGTAAGCGAATGCGCCCTTAATGGACGCTTCCGGTTTTGTTGCAAGGTCGTTGCTAAATTGTCGCCTCGGCACTGTCCGTTCGTTCTTACATGGTCTTAAAGGCTCAAATATCGATAGGCATATCATTTGCATGGTAAGTGTATGTTCTAGTGTCTGTTCACAAGCATTTGTTTCCGAGATTTTCTTACAGGTGAATCGACATGCGAGGATAGTAGGCCTACCTGTGGCCGAATTAGCCCGAGTTTCCTTTGGCCCTGACACTACTCCTATAACATGTAGGAGGCCGCTGGTCGGCCTTTTTTTCTATCAGATATGATTTTGCCGACGCGGCGGCTGTCAAAAGTATCTCACCGTGTAAAACCTGTAACATTGTTGGAGTAGCCCTGACATCAGACATGGGACATCTGGCATATCTGTCAAAATGTCCATGTTTGGTGTCCGGGCCAGAGGAAACTCGGGTTATGCACAGGGCTAGCAACGATTTATATGGGATAAGAATAAAAATAGCGAGAAAAAATACGTAACTGCACATAACATTTTCTCGTTATTTTTATTCTTATCCCATATAAATCGTTGCTAGCCCCTGTGGGTTATGGCAGAATCGGAGGAAAATCAAACAGCAAAGTGCTTTATGTTAATCAACAAATTGGTAAATGGTAAGATTACAAATTGATGACATTATAAGGGTGAAGGAACATTAATTAACGTCTCTTTCCGGCAAAGTAATGATACTGAGTGTTTCTTTGTTTCCTTGCCACTCCAGACACCTTAGAAATGTATCTTTAATTTTCGCACCTTCTTTTGAGAGGCGATGGAACAAAGCAAAGGTTTTAATCGTCCCTTCGTTATGAGAGGACGATAATTCGCATTCTGATAGTGAAGGGATGATAATTAGCCTTATTTTGTTCTGTTTCCAATCAAGACACAAATGTGAAGGAACAAAAAAAATCAAAAGAAATGGAGGAAATGGTCCTTTCAATATTTTTGTGGTCTCCGGCTACAGGACCAGCACTTACATGTAAATTCTATTACATGTATGTATAATAAACTATTGATCCCTGGATATATAGAACAGTAGCCACTAAGGTTGCAGTCTTGC